TATTTTACAATATATTGTGGAAATGGTGATCGATTAGGGAAACACCGTAGTAATATGATGTTTAATAGTGAAGGTAGAACTGGGCAAATGAATTAAACATTATTTGGCATCGAAACTTTTATTTACAATGACAGATAATGACACGAAAAAACCTATTTAGAAAACGTATACATCTCATTTAGTGTAAATAACTCATCAATTCATAGCGTTAAACTTTCTTATTCTACTTTCTATACTTCTATTCTAAAATGTTTTAATGGGATATATTTTGATTAATGCTAAGGTAGCGTGTTTAGATACGTTTAGTAATGTAGTAGGAAACGTCTACAGAAAGATTTTCAATTAATTATACCTATTAACTATATTATAATTCGGTTGACAGAATTAACAATCAGTACAAATAATTAAACAATATGATACTGTTTACAATTCAGTGAATTGATTCGTGTAAACATCTCCTTCTGACAAGAGATCGGCAACATCCTGAATAATACAGGTAATCTTACATTATTAGATTTGGTATCAACTATTTCCAATCACTATTTAACATGAAATATTCGATATAATTTTGTCCAAATCATTAGTATTTCGATAGTTATCATTAACGATAACAATTTATGTTGTCCCTGTTGATAAAGATTAGTGTAATTACTTTGGTATAATTATTTATTTATAATCGTTGGATGGAAAAGTCAACTAAGAGAAATGATTTGCAAACAAAACATACTATACGATGAAAAAAGATGGAGACATGAATTATTTATCCTAAAACGACCAAAATTTGTAAGTTAAACAATAAAGGAAATAATACAAATATAAACAATATAGAACAATGGATTATTGACTAAAAGTAGTCGACCTTCAATCAACAGGTCCAAACCTACATTCACTTAGTTGGACAGCTGGTTAGTAATAAAATTACTTATCCTAAAATTGTGGCTCCAAGCCGATGACATACATCTAGGCTACATAAATAAGTCATCTTAAATACAAATAATATTACAATATTACAATATCATAAATACATTTTATGTATATACATAACTTACTTGAAACCGGGATAGTGGATATAATAATGGCACTTCTACAGGTGGTTGACCATGGGCGCTAGTTTGTAGAAAATAATGAAATTGACCATTGACTGAATGTGCAACAGCTTTTTCAATAAATTCCACCATAGTGTTTGCACTATGTGATTGTGGTTGTGACCAAAAACTAAATCTACCTATTAAAGAATTATTCAACGAAATAATTGATGTTTTATTTTTAAAAAGTATGAAAATTTATCTATTTATCATTCATTTGTTTACTATATAACATAGAGACTGTATTTAAGTTTATTAACATAAGTATTCAGAATACAATGTATCAATTTGATTTTAATATTCAACTAGAATTGGTTTCTTGTTTTTTTCTTAATAGTTGAAAAGTTACAGAACTAAATCAACTTCATGTACTCATCCACAAAGCTGTCATTCAATGTTCTCTACTAAGGGTATGACATACAGTATTCGACATAAACTTATGAAATTACATTTATTTTCAATACTCTCAACATATCAACAGTCGGTGAAGTCGTTATTAGTTGGACTACTAAGTTGTGTAGGTAGATGCAGACTATCAAGTAATAGCGGTCTATTTAAACATCTGGGCTACCTGTTCCTGTCATCTAGATATTTCAAAAAGTTATCTAATTTTGTTTGTTTTAATACATCATTATGCCTATTAATCGGACAACCTATTCAGGTGCGTTTCTGAAAAGTGTAAGACCTTTTGCTGTAAAGGTTACAAAAGGCCTAATCAGAGATATCGTTGTTGCTGGCAATATGCAGCGAGAAGAATGTACATTATCCAGATGTCGATTGACTGGGCTGCTAACTTCTAACTGGCGATCACTCAATATTTATCGTCGGGAAGGACGAAGAAGTAAGAAACGGAAACTTGTTGAAGTACTTTGTGCTGAGAATTCTATATTGTACCAAAAATATAATATTGAATAAAGCTAATAATAAAAAAAGCTGATTGGCAACCGAGAGATTACTGTAACCAATGGTTGAAGACGTCGGATGACATTGCTCAGAGTCTGTCACAATAGTGCAAATTTATTCACTCTTTATGTTCTTTTAAATCCTGCGATTTAAAGTTATCTTATATTCCTTTTTTTCATTAAACAAATTCATGTATTCCTCACGAAACCTTTCCTAATACTACTACTGATACTATTACTACTTTCAATACTATAATATTTGGTTTACGAGATTTTTTTTTTCTGAATCATGGAGTTTCAAACTAGATTGAAATAGCTATTCATTAGTGATTTATGAATCACCCGACCGTTGATGCTACCTTGACGTGGTGGTCGGGCTTGCCTACCCTCAAGGTCCTACCATGCCAGACAGGTCGGTTGAAGAGTGGTAAGACTAAAAGCAGCAAACCCAAGGTCCGAAGGAGAAATCGTACTGCCGACTGTACAGAGATGTGACGGCAGTAAGGTGTTTCCTTTAGACAACCAGCCTTCTGAATTATAATAACAATTCAAGACAATACTACCTTCGAAACTATACACACTTATGGAAAAACAAGCACTCAAGTACATATACATATTAGTGGCCAGTTAAAATTCAAAATAATAAATATTCTTAGGTTTATAACGAAAGAGTCGGAAATTCGATATGCTATTACATCTGGATGGAATATAATTAATAGTCACCAAATGAATATTCTATGCGCATTTAACTTGAACATATATATATATATATATATATATATATATATATATATATATATATATATATTAGGAGATACACCAGTTCAGCCACATCATGCTGTAAGACAGACGTACAATCGGAGTAATAATAATAATAATAATAAAAGTAACAGTAATCATAATCATAATAATGAGCGCATAAAATAATTTGGCTGTAAGCCAAATTTAAGTACTAGCAAACAAAGTAAAGATATTAAATTAGGTAGTCTACATATGTACATGTATATGTATATATAAGAATATACATTATATGTGCTACATGTGCGTTTTTGTGTATGTAAGTGTAATGCCAGAGAGTGTGGTTTACTTATTAATCAATATTTTCAATATACCTATATGTATGTATATCATTTCTGTGTTTTGAATCAAACAACAACAAAAAATCAACAATATAAACCTGCATTTGATGTCTTGTGAATAAAAAAAGGTAATATTATTAATAGAATAAAATAATCATACATATATATGTATATGTATAATCCTATTCGATAAATAGATAATGTGAGTTAGCAGAGTAACAATAGTAGTAAAAGGTAGAGGCACATAGAATTTTTGAAATAATTTAAAACGACTGGAATTTTGGCTTGTCAGTCTTAACGTTGAATCTGGTACGTATATACATCGGTTCAAGTTGCTATATCCTATTAGCACAGACAGAGATAAAATTGTCAGGCCGGATCCCAGAATATTAGAAGTAGTTACAGTATGTGGAAACCTTTACATATCTGGGCAGCATCATTGATGAACACGGTGGATCAGATGCAGATGTAAGTGCGAGGATCGTCAAAGCAAGAGCAGAATATTTACAACTGAAGAACATTTGGAACTCACAACAATTGTCAACCAACACCAAGGTTAGAATTTTCAATACAAATGTCAAGATAGTTCTACCGTATGGGGCAGAGACGTGGAGAACTACGAAAGCCATCATCCAGAAGTTACAGGTGTTTATTAACAGTTGTCTAAGCAAGATACTTCGGATCCGATGGCCAGACACTGTCAGCAACCACCTACGTGGGAGACAACAAACCAGATTCCAACGGAGGAAGAAATCAGAAAGAAGCGCTGGAAGTGGGTTGGGCATACCTTGAGGAAATCGCCCGATTGCGTCACAAGACAAGCACTCACATGAAATCCTGAAGGCCAAACGAGAAGAGGACGACCAAAGAACACATTACGCCGAGAAATGGAGACAGACATGAGAAGAATGAAAAAATGGGATAGAACTAGAAGGGAAGGCGCATGACAGAGTGAGTGTGTTGGAGAATGCTGGTTGGCGGCCTATGCTCCATTGGGAGTAACAGGCGTAAGTAAGTAAGTAAGTTACAGTATTAGTAGTTATGAAATAATTATATATTGAAGGTACGATTTGAGAAATTATAAACTAATGAAATAGAAACAAAGAAGTTATAATGAATTTAGAATCTCAGTTTGTGGAAAGACAGAGAATGGATGCACCTGTACCATTCCAAACAATTCTGAGGCATGTCATTCAAAGTTCCCAACCAATGGTTACGGTAATCACGCGGACTCCAACCAGGTGGTCTAAACCTATTAACATGTCGAAGTCCAATTGTCAGTAACTTCATAAACTGAAGTCATGTTTTGATTTGGCTGCCCCAGTTTTTTTAAAAGCCAATAAAAATTACGATTATCATGGGGGAACTGTCGACCGACAGTTTCAAATATCTTGTGACATGGCTTGGTGCAATGATCAATGATTGTAATAGATTAATATCATCATTACTATGTCATTTTGCTTATACGTTAGTAAGAACGATTCAATGGTAAGAACTATCTGGGAGCGTTTATAACTCACGGCTTAAACATTTTTCAGTTGGTGAAAGTCAATAGCCTTATCGATTGACTTTTCATTTCCAACTGGTATTTTACACCTGACTTGAATATTAATCCACCGTGCACCAGTGATGCGTCAAAAACATCTACGACCAAATATTATCACCCAATATATATCTCATAATCTCGACAACTGTGCTTCATTGTTATAGGAAAATAATACAGCGGTACGAAATGGTTTTGTATAATGAATGAGCGTTTAGTTTCTATACACTCACTCATTGTACACAGACAAGGGACATAGAAAGCTTATGACTGAAAAGTTATTAAAATCAAAATCAACAAATAATTTTCCTTAAATAAATAATAGGATGAGTGTAACACTAAAAAATAAAACTTTATTCAAGTCACAGTATTATTTAGTAGCAACTTCTTATAGCTTACAGATTTATTTTATTTTATTTGAACACAGTGATATTGGTACAAGGGGGGACCAAATACATATATACCACACAATAACAATGAGGCTAGTGGTAGTTATCAATTATTTGTGTGACAGATGGGATACTGCCCAGGTGCCCAAACAGAAGCAGGTGTTTTTCTTAGGAGGCCACACCCAGAGCCCTTGACCTAAAGGTCTGGTCCACAAGGCAGTGGAGCATCGTGAACAGATTCAGTCCCATGGTAGCCGGTGACCAACAATGGGTTCATACGCCTTTTGTTCCTTCAGGACCCTGGAGACCATGTGCACCATTGGTTTGAAATCAAGGTTTTCCAATTCCCGTAGGTGGATCATCCAAATCCATCAACCCGTTTAAAGCGACGAACATTCGCTTTTTGTCCTATCAGTTTCGTAAACAACACCCCGATGCGAAAAGATAATGAGCAGGACATGACCTATAGCAATAATACATATGAAATATAAATATGAATAAACGGAATAGCTGAAATCATTAAAAAAGGAAACCTACCTTGATTGTGTTCGATTCTTGTATGATAAGTTTCACCACGTACACGAAAACTTAAACTTAAAATGTGTGTATCATGCCCACTGTCACGAACTAAGAAGCTACCGTCTGGTCGTTTAGCCAATAAAAATTGAGCATCTTGGAAACTTAGTGGACCCCAATACCAGCCCATCTGTTAAATAAACAAAAGTAAAAAATATAAATAAATTAATATATTTGTAATATCCCAATGAGTAGAAAAATTAGATTTTCTGATCACATCCATCATTTTTGCATCACCAAACAATTCACAAGGTCAATCAAAGATCTGAGAATCACGAGAGGAGTTGACATAGTTTCACATCACCATCTCGTGGTTGTCAACATCAAACTGAAGCTAAACAAACACTGCACAACTGAGGAAACTGCATTACAAAGGTTCAATACAGACTTCATTCCACATACTCACAAACTCAAACAATTCAACATAACTCTCAACAACACCTTTCAAGCCTTACAAAGTCTAATTCACAAAAAGGAAACTACTATAGAGAACGATTAGAAAGGGATCAAAAACCACAAACTTCAACGGATCAACAGGTTCTGTGACCAAAGAAGCATCACCATAATCAACCAATCTCTATAGACACCGATGGCAGGATTTAAGAAAGGAAGAACAAGAAGAAAATATGGTTTAAAAAGACGGTGAAAATGTATGGATGAAGGAATATAGAGATCCAAAATTGAGAGAAAAATAGAGTTGATTCATCCGCGTTATTATGAAATAAAAATTAACTGAAACTAACCCAATAGACAAAATTTTTTGGGACGAGTTTTTTTTTATAGCACAAACAATCATATGAAAATATGACGCTACAGTTTACCGAATTCACGCGTATGTAAATATATTCCATGAAGATGTTAATATAGTCTAAAACGACTGCATATATATATAATTTGGAGAAAATACCCTACTTAGATACTAAAAAGTTATTTTCGATTAAATTAAATGTTTTATACATAAATTTAACAGAGTAGTGAATTAGATCGAAGTGTCACACTTTCAAACATCGTAAACAGCAACTTAACAAAAGTTGTATCAGAAAAAAATAATATGAGCGCAGAATAAACAGGTACAACTTAATCAATACCCCTAGATTAAAAGTGTGTCTATGACATAAGAATCTAAACCCCAGGCATTTAAACTGATTATTTATAAATTCATTGTTCGCACACATTCATTTAATAAGCCTGTTGTCCCTTATAGAGCCAAAAATAATTAAAAAAACTTCGTGATTTTTTCGAGATATCTGATTTTAGATATCCTACTTCCTTCTCTCTAAATATAATTTACATGATATAGCATGATTGGTTACTAGCTGATTAGACGGGACTCATTAGTCTAAATAGACGACATTTCACATCAACAATTACAACATGTGTTAGTCTAAGTCAGCCAAGTTGAAGAATCGTCCATTATTTTAATGATCAGCTTGTAGACACTAGGCAGAATATCTCAATATTCATGTTCTCAATACAGTTATTACATTAGACTTAAAAAAAAATTATTATTAAACTTTAAATATGCTGACATTTTGTCAAAAGAAGATTATAAATTGCCATAACTATAAAATGAAAATAAATACTGCACGGACACCATTCAAACATGAGACTTGTAACTGAAACCATACACTAAAATCGATTGTAGTAGAGAAAAGCACACAAAAAATTTCATGGAAAACCTGTAAGCACTGGACGGCCGTTTCGTCCTATTGTGTGACTCCCCATCAGTGCGCATCTACGATCCCGTCTCGCGAGATTCGAACCCAGAACTTATCAATCTCTGAGGAGTCCCACAATATGGTGAAACGGCCGTCCAATGTTTCCAGGTTTTCCATGGTGGTCTAGCCTCAATTGACTCATGATCTCAACTATATAAAATATGAATTAGAAAAATGTTACATTTATAACAAGTTTTCAATTGTTCTAATTTTGGGACTATTTATTCTAATGAAGACAAATATGTAGACAAAAATATATATATAACTACAATTATATGTAGTACATACAAATGAGTCATAATATTCATAATAATGATAATGATGATGGTTAAAATCAAATAATTTAGTACATATATTAGAGAATACAAATAATAATAAATGATGGGATAGATAAAACAAAATGAAAACTAAAATTTGGACAAGAAAATTATTTGATAAGGAAATATTATTTACAATTTAAGATTTTATTAAATTTTGTCAGTCAGTCAGTCACAAAGTAGAACTTCGTACGTACATCAGTTCGAGTTGCCATACCACATTAGCACAGAGATACAATTAACGATTCAAACCCCATAGTGGTAGAGGTAGTAAAAGTGTAAGTAGTAATTCGAAATATTACGGTTTGAATATGTTATTGAAAGAGTATAATCCAGTGATATAAATTTGGAAAGAGAAGAAAAATAGAGACATGAAGAATTCAGAAGATTAGGATTTGGTAGAACACAAAGAGTGGATGCACCTTCGCCATTTCAAACGATTTTGAGCCATGCCATTCAAGGTCTCTAACCATCGATTGGTATCGTCTAGCGAATCCCAACCAGGTAGTCTACACCCACCAACATGGCTCAGTCCAATTGTCAGTGACTTCATGGGTTTGCGCCACGTTTTCGTCTGGTCTCCCCTAGTTTCCTTCCAACCTACTCCTACACCATAAAACATTGCACGTCGGGGCAGTCGGTGGTCGGGCATACGTTACACATGTCCCAGCCATCTCAACTGATGAAGTTTCACTACTTCATCAATCGATTTGCCATCCTTACCTAGTACTCGTTTCCTAACAACTGCATTACTTACCCGGTGGTCCCAGGATATACGACCAGTGTTTCGAAGACACCTATGATCGAATACTAGTAGCCTACGAATATCCTCTACGCTTATCGGCCATGTTTCACTACCATAAAGTAGGACGGAACGAACTGCTGCACAGTAAACCCGTCCTTTGGTTGTTAGACGGATATCTCGTCTACGCCATAAATGACGCAAGTTGGTGAAAGCTAGACGAGCCTTCTGTATCCGCACTGAGATTTCGTCACACACCAGACTACAAGGGCTGATGAGAAGTGTGTATACAAGTTTGTATATAATTTAAATTGTTTAACGGTTTTACTCATTCATTTATTAATTATTCATAATTAAGTGACTAGTAATATACTAATAATCCTATCTCATACACACAAACAAATACAGACGAAGACATAAAATGTAGCAGTAGCCTCTGCATCAATCGACCTCAACATACAAAGAAAAAAGCAAGATTCTCAAATACGACATGGAGAGCACCAACCAAATCACACTTGACGGCGAAACTCTGTAGGAGGAGGAAACATCCACGTATCTGGAAAGCATCGTTGATAAACAAGGAGGATCGGATGCAGATGTAAAGGCGAGGATCGGCAAAGCAAGGATAGCATTTCTACAATTGAAGAACATTTGAAACTCAAAACAACTGTCAACTAACTTCAAAGTGAGAATCTTCAATACGAACGTCAAGACAGTCAGTCCTACTGTACGGAGGTTAAACGCGGAGAACTACTACATCCATCGTCAAGAAGGTACAAGTATTTATAAACAGCTGTTTACGCAAGATACTCAACATTCACTGGCCGGATACCATCAGCAACAGCGTTTTGTGGGAGAGGAGAGAGTGTCTTCCAGCTGAAGAGAAAATTAGGAGAAGACGTTGGAAGTGGATCGGACATATATTAAGGAAATCACCAAACTGCATCACGAGGCAATCCCTAACTTGCAATCCGGAAAGGAAAGTGGAAAATAGTAGGGCCAAATAACATATTACACCGGGAGATCGAAGCAGATATGAAAAGGATGAGTGATAACTAGAAAGAACTGGAAAGGATTGATTGGGACAGGGTTGGATGGAAATGCTGGTGGGCGGTCTATGCTCCTCCACGAGGGGTAACAGGCGTAAGTAATATAGTAATAAAATATGCATGAGAGTTATAATGCTACAGATTTAAGGCGTATAATTTTGTTTATAGTACGATGGTTAATGTCTTAGATGAAATAGTTAAGTAATTTCAACTATACATTTACTGTATAGTGATACTATTTAGTTGTCGAGATCCATGTAGAGAAGGCATGAATATAACTCGTAATTTTCAGAGATGCAGCTGAAATTTTCTTCTGGTCAAACAATAAACATGCCATGTAAATAGTACTTAACCATTTTACAATAAGTGTCCATAAATAGGCGTTTACTAGTGTCTTCAACTGTAAAACAGATCGTTGACATTAACAGTACACTAAGCCTGATCGAGTAACAACAGCCAAACAAGAACACACAAAGTCAACGCACAAGATCAATACACCGAAGCAAACAAGCAACTAAAGAATAACATTAGAGTCGATAAGCAGAAATATGTGGAGGACCTAAAAACGACAACGCAGAAAGCTGTAACACAACGAAACATGAGACAATTGTATGATACAATGAAGAAGCCAACAGGGAAATATGGTATACCAGAGAGACACGTCAACCACAAAGAAGGCGAAACAATCACCATGATTCAAGAACAGAGAAACAGGTGGGTAGAATACGTCGAGGTGCTCCTCAATACATAAACCTAATAAACCAAAAGGACGTCGAAACAACACACACACATCCCTATACATGTCACCCTACCAATGATCCAAGAAATCAGAATGCACATTAGATAAATCAAGAATGGAGAAACAGCACCACCTCACAATATACCAAACGAAGCAATAAAGTAACACATTGAAGAAACTGAAAACATGCTCCACAATCTATTCAAGAAGATTTGGGAGGAAGAATAAGTCCCAACGACACACTGGAAAGATGCATTCCTCATCAACATAACAAACAACCAACTATCTCAGTCGATGAAGATTCACCACCTCATCCACTGATTTACCATCGTTCCCTAATACCCTGCGTCTAACCTCGCAATTACTTACCCGGTTATCCCAGCAGATGCGAGCAATATTTTTAAGGCATCTGTGGTCAAATACTAGTAACTGACGAGTATCTCCTACTCTTAATGGCCATGTTTCACAGCCGTAAAGTAGAACAGAGCGAACTGTTGCGCAGTATACTCGTCCCTTAATTGATAGATGGATATATATATATATATATATATATATATATATATATATATATATTGACAGGTGAGAAGAAATGAAATTCGGCTACATCAACGGAACAAGAGAAACACGCCACAAGATCTCTAGCACTTCGCTTTACTTCCTCGGATAAATTTGGTTAAGGCTTTTAGTGACAAATATTCAGGTATTATAAATAGAGACGATCATAAATATCTTACCTTTCTCAATTCTAACATACTTCGATGAAATGAAGATCGACTATCTTGTAGTGTAGATGATAACCTTTGGTTGGATAAGCGTGTTGAACTGATGGGCGCCGTTGTACTTATACTATCAGATGCCCTAACATCATAGGCGTTATAGGTATGACAACTGCTAACAGGCTGAAAATGAAGAAACAAGATAAAATAGTCCGATGAAGTGTTCAGATACAAAATTGATTATTGATTGGAATCCTGAAAAACCAAATGTATCATTAGCTTACTGAGAGGCATTAAAAACTGAGAGAAGTATCCATCTATTAATATGAAAAAAGGTCTCAGTACAAGATATTGTTCCTGATAGTATTAATAAAGTTGGAAAGTAAATTTGCGACATTAACGTGGGGAACTGTCAAGTTGACACTTGTCTTTTATTTCCTTGCCATTGCAATTCATTAGTCTAATCTCATACTGGATTATGAATAATAATGAAAAAGGATACGTTCCAAAGAACCGAAACAATAAAAAGTACAAAGTGATAAAAAGAGTTTATATAGAATTTATGGGAAAGACATTTTCAAACCGTTTGTCTGAAGTGATTGTTCGAAAATTAACTAGTTAGCATACAGCGATTAAGCCTTGTACAGAAAGTGGAATTTTCAGAATTCTATCACATTAACAGATTTAAAAAAAATTAAAGCCTAAATTATTAAATGAACTGTTAGTGTAAAGGAAAAATAAAAATAAAATAGTCATATCGGCAAATAGACTATGATAAACAGTACAATAAGAATCTACTGAGCGCTTCCAATTATAATTTGTGTAAGTCGGAAATGTAATGAGAAATTTGGTTCAATGTGTTCTTCGCGAAAAGATGACGTGAAAATGAATCATATTAAATCAAAGTACCATTTACTAATCATGAGAAAAAGGAAAACATTTGCTTTACAATGTTCAGCACTTGTAATTGCAGCTCAAATTATAGTGAACTATGTGAGAAATTAGATTATGATTTAGTTTAATCGATATCACTCGAAAGGACTAATCAACCAGAAGCCGGCTTATAGTCATCTGCCCTGAGCATAACCAGTTTTTCTACAGACTAAAATTTATTGCTTTGATCGATAACGATTAATCTTGAGCTGTGGTTGAGATAATCTAAACCCCTATTGGTCTATGGTGTCTGCCCTTCTATACCGGGACTCAAACCAACAGATCACAGGGGGCGAACAAGCCTCTATTTATCTTATAATCAAGTATTGATGAGTTTGCACACCCAAAATAAGGGGTCATACTTCATGCGTAATCAAGTCGTAAGTGGCAGAGATCGTTGGAGCAAAATGTGCGTAATTAATTATCAATTGCCAAGGAGTGACAAAACATGAAGTAATAGTGAGTCCAAAGAAAGCTCATAAAACAGGGAACAAAGAAACACAATAATCCAATTACTGAATAACTATACGGCAGAAATAGAAATCGTGGTTAGTTAAATAATTCTAGGTTATAATATTCCCAATATTGGCTTCGTTACAACTACTAGTACTACTACTGCTATATCTACTAATGACAGTGATACAAATAATAATAATAATAATAATAATAATAATAATAATAATAATAATAATAATAATAATAATAATAATAGTTATATATATATATATACTTGGAGTTTCTCAGCGGCGGTTTTATTACCTATATTACCTATATTAAATAAAGCCATTAATAATAATAACAATAATAATAATAATAATAATAATAATAATAATAATAATAATAATAATAATAATAATAATAATAATTAGAAAACTAGGGAGGATTGGATAGCTTTTCGCCTTATTTCGAAACTTTCAAACGAGTCCCCGTTGCCATTAGAGATTTAAACACAGACATGTCAGGACTCGTAGCGATCTGGCAAACCGTAAGTACAAGCAAGTCCGAAGTTCAACTTTTCATGGCCTTTGATGGTTAGTTTAATGACAGCCCTTGATGTTGACTCTTCTAATCAGTTATCTACGTGCATATCTGCAAATTTAGACTAATTCTTAGTTTTACTACTAAACTAATATTAAAGTAAATATCTGTGCTTCAATACTCTACCAATAAATTGTTACACAATTAATATACACACACCCGGAACTGTTTTATGAAATGCACATATATTTAACTTTCAGGAGGAAAGAGATGATAAAATTAATTCCAACTTTACGAGAATGAATCCATGGGAGACATTTACAGAAAAATAAAGCTCAATGAACAGATGACTACTACAAATTTACTTACAGCAACTTGTTCCGTAACGCCAACCTGCTGGTTCTGACAAGAAGATGGAGAACTGATTATTGCTTCCTCTACATTGCACGTCTCCAAGGCAGATGCAATTGTTGTCGGTGGACGTTGTCTGTCACAGACAACTGGACTAGTAACTGGGCTAAGAGGACAGGATGCAATATCACTGGAGACGCCATCTGCACACTCGTGGTGATGATGATGATGGTGAACATGATGGACGTGGTGTACGTGATGAACGTGATGAATTTGACCATTCTCGTCGATTATAGTAGTTGGATGTGGTCCAAATCCGATACCTTCAGTGAAGTTTAAGACCTTTCTATTAGAATCAACAGGAATCTCACAGGGGAGGTGAGAAGTAACTGAATTTGTATTATCACAGTTAGAATTACTTTCATGTTCTTTGACCAGCAATACGTCAGGATTTAATGGAAAGATCCCCTGAGTGAACTGAGTAGTAGTAGGTTCATCGTTGTTTTGTTCTTTTCCACTGTGGGGCTTCGATATACCCGTACAATTTGAACTGTTTAACCAACACCTATGGTTTTTGTGGTTGGGACAGCTACAAGCTGGAACTTTTGTAGATGAGGAATGACTTCCCATACAAGAAAAGCATTCTCTAGTAGAATCGATGGACTATTATTGATAGAAAAAAACACAGTTGAGTGATTATTAGTTTCCAATAAAAAAGATGCGTGTAGTAAAAAAGATGTAACACAAATATAATTCGGATGCTTGATCCCAACCGTTGCTGCTACCTTGACGTGGTGGTCGCGCTTACCTATCGTGATGAACCAATCGAGCTATAATGGCTGGGACAATCATTCCTCAAGGTCCTACCATGCCAGGCAGGTCGGTTGAAGAGTGGTAAGACTAAAAGCAACAAACGCAAGGTCTGAAGGCGAAGTCGTTCTGCTAACTGTACAGAGATGTGACGGCAGTAAGGCGTTTCCTTCAGACAACCAGCATAACAGAGATGCTGAATTCCCACAAAGTGGGGTGGGATTAGAAAAGGTCGATCCTAAAAATGTACACCTCACATTATCCCACAGATATCCGTCTCTGGCGGTAGGGTCCCAACAAGTACGGAGCTAACACGAAAATTACTCACAAAAAGGTCGTATGTGACCGACCTCAAGTAGTTGTCCCTTGGGCACTGTGGTCACGCTCTCAGGTTACTAAGACTACTTCTAATTCAATTTCCTTTTCAGGTACCTCTAGAAAATTATGAATACAGTGATCTTGAGTGCAGTTATCACTTCCCGGTTGCCTACACCGTGGAAGGGCTCTTTTAGAGGTACCTGAAAAGTAAGTTGGATTAGAAGTGGTCATAGTGACTTGAGAGCGTGACCGCAGTTCCCAAGGCACTGCAGTGAAGTGTTCCAGAAAAAATATTTTAACTGGGTCATTAGGATAGCTATATCCGACCATCACAGCAAAGTGGCAGCAACGATTGGGGATTAGAAATAGAACTTTCCATGTCAGTCCCAGTGAGGGTAAAAACTCTATATAACAAGTAATTTTTAAATTTTCCCAATTATTTATAAATTGTTAAAAGTCATATGTTTAGACTGTTACTTAGAAGTGGTTAAAACAAGCAACTTACATACAGTTTAATGCACTGTGACGAAAGTTGAGGATATTAAGTACTTTAAACGGATTTGTGACTGCAGGACTTGAAGTTGAGCACATCATATATTGTAACTCAGATCTATTTACCAAAGTGTATGCACAATCATGTGACAACTTACTAGTTACTGTGACATTTATCCATACCAAACTAGTGATTCAACAATTATGTGAAGTACCTAGTCAGTCAGTCAGCTACAACGTAGGACCAGGCACACACATGCATCGGTTCAAGTTGCCATATCTCGTTAGCACAACAAGATGAACACCGGATTCATAGAAGTAGCTAATTTAGTGGTGTTAATATATAAAATATAGGTTGTATCTAACATCCAACCGGCGTCCCTGTGCCCCGAACATAGTGTGTTCGGGCACAGGGATGACAATTCAATTGGCGTCACTACCTTGAAACATCGATTTCGGTGGCTTGGTCATGTTCTACGAATGTCGTCCCAGAGAACTCCACGTTGTGCATTATTTTCCGACACTGGGACTGGTTGGAAAAGGCGGAGAGGTGGTCAGTATATGACATGGTGTCGTGGTATAAAAGAAAGCTGCAAAGGGCTAGCTTCTGTTGGTACTTTACGACTCCCTGGTTGGGGTCCTAGAGATGGTGCAACACAGTGGCTCAAGACGTTGTCAGATATGGCTCAGAATAGAAACCAGTAGCGATCCTGCTGTAACTTTCTTTTACTTTCTTCATAAACAATGGACCAAGGCGGTCTTTTTGAATATCTAGACTACCTGTTCCTACCATCTGGGTATTTCAACAAGTTATCTGTTTTCTTGTTTATTTTAACATATCATTACGCCTATTAGTCTCAACCTATTCAGGTGCGTTTGTGAAAAGTTCACTAAATTCCGCTGTACAACTTACAAAAAAGCCTAATCAGAAACATCGTGGTTGCTGGCAATATGCATCGAAAAGAACATACATTATTCACATGTCGATTCTTGAACTGCTAACATCTAACTCAGTCAGTCAGCTACAACGTAGGACCAGGCACATAAATGCATCGGTCCAAATTCCCATACCTGGTTAACACAACAAGACGAACACCGGATTCATAGTAGTTAATTTAGTGGTGGTATAAAAAAGATAGGTTGTATCTAACATCTAACCGGCGACCACTCAATATTCATCGCAAGGATCAGCCAAGAAATAAAAAAAGAAACTTGCCGAAATACTTTGTGCTGAGAATTCTATATTGTACCAAAGATATGATAATAAAGCCATTAATAATAATAATTCCTTTACCTGGAAGAATTTTTTCTGGTTGTACCTTTGCTAACTGGACTGCCTCTGTTACTATTATTATTTCACTATCATACGGTGAGTCAGTTAGCTACAACGTAGGACCAGGCACATATATGCATCGGTTCAAGTTGCCATACCTCATTAGCACAACAAGATGAACACCGGATTCATAGAAGTAGCTAATTTAATGGTGATAATATATAAAAGAAAGGTTGTATATAGGGATATAGTACAGGAAGAGAGATATGAAGCAATTTTAGTCTCAATGTTTAAACGAAGACAGAAATTGTATAAACCCACGCCATCGTGATTGACTCTGAACCATGTCACACAGAGTCTCCAACAATTGGTTACGATAGTCAAGCGAACCCCAGCCAAGTAGTCTAAATCTACAGGCATGGATTAGACTAGAGGTTAGTGACTTCAAGCACTGATGCTACGTTTGGGTTTGGCCGCCCCTAACTCTCTTCCAACCATCCCCAATACTAGTCAGCATTACGAGTCGTAGTTATCGGTGTCCAGGCATACGTAACACGTGACCCAACCATCTCAGTTGATCACTATCATACACTAATTTCTGTTCATTATTGTTCTACTTTACATTCTCTGTCTCTTCACATTCTAATTGTTATTGTGTGGCGCAAATGTATTTGGTGGGGTTTTTCAGACCCTAAATTTGAGTCCAATCCAGAGTAATTTGCTCGCTTCTAGCACGGAAAAGCAGCACGAATTTAGTGGTTATTTTCCAACCAGGTTACAGATTCAAACCACTCCCTATATACCAAGGTCCACGGATTCGGGTAGTATTATTGACCCTCATAATATGGCCGAAAACTAGGCTCATACCTGACAAAAGTCACATTACCACTTAAAAATATTTTTAGTAGTGAAATAACTGCTAAAGAATACCGGTGAATAAACTACCTCGAATCATACATGATTTCTTACTCGAAATATCAAACACTCTTTAATGGACTAAAAGAACCATTGGTGAAAAAAAGCCAGAATATGAAGATAACTTACATTTACTTGACCGGATACATAGGGGGAACAAGTACAAATCATTGCGAGAGCAGACTCTGCTCTTCTATGGCTTATACACATATTTGGATGATTTGAAGTTTGGTATCCGGACTGAGCAGCTCCCATAGTTTTGGATACATGTATATGTTTTAATCGACCGTTTGAAGGGCTTATACTGTCAAGGCGCTCAAAATTTCTTTTTGTTGTATTTGGACTAAAAAGTGAATTTTTACATTTAACAATGGAACTCCGACTGTTTGTTGATCTAGGTGGAAGTGAATGATGGTCAACACGGGGATTCAGAGTTCCATTAGATTCACAGCCATTCTGATTATATGAACTAAATCTGACTCCTTCAATAAGAGAACTGTTATGGCTGAAAGAACGTTTGTGTTGTACGAAACGACACCCAAACTTCTGATCGAAAACATCCCTCTTCAATTCGCGATCCTTTTTATGAACAAGTGGTTTCAGTCGCCTATAAAATTTATCTTCATTTAACTGAGGTAAATTCTTTACATTTACAAGTGAATCACCTGGTGGGTGAAGAAAATTTGTTTTAGAAGATTTGAAGCTCTTAGAAGCATGAAATATACGTTGGAAAGTGTCAGATATCCACTGTAAACTACCGCACCTTGTTTTGTTTGTATCACCTTGCTCTTGATACCGAGAAATTTTATATCCCATAGAATGATCTGAAATTAAATTGAGTCCACGATATTCTGAGGAAAAGCATCTTGAGTTCTGCGTGTAGCTAGAGTCTAGTTTACTACCACCATGAAGACCACATACGTTTCCAGAGCAAGTACAGTTTGATGCAGGTAAGTCAGATGTCGAACTCGAATCCCTTCCGAGCTCGCATAGGTTAGGTTCTTGGTGTTTCGAGACTCCCTGACAAATATGTCGTTTTGTGAACCGTTTGCAAGTGAATGGCTGAGTGCATTTCGGATCAGAAATATTTTTATCGAACGTAAACAAACAGGAATGACCATTCCTATCAGATGGGATTTTACCCGGTCGATTTGCTTCACTGTTTTGATGTGACGAGTACTGGGACTTTATATTATTGCTATTAAGTGTTTGGGGACATTCAAGGCATTTTTTGTGCTTTACATCCTCGTGATCGGGTAGAGGGTCGATTGGATCCTTCTGAGGTTTGTCGATTGACTCAACGTCAGATGTAGAGTGTGGATGTAAACCGCTTCGCCTGCATACTGCACAAACGTCTGGTAAGTGACCAATAGGTGGAAAATTTAGGTTTTGCAAACTGACAGTTGGTTCACATTTTATGCATTTATGTTTTACTTGTCGAACTGGACGGGTTATGTGTTTTGGAGGTAGGGGAGGAATACGTTTCGAGGCTTTTGGTGGGACGGGAGGTGGATTTTCATCATTCGAAGATGATGCTGGAAAGTGACCAACTCCACACTCGTAATTCGCTTTCTCTTTAGGAGACACAACAGTATGCTTTTCACATGACCAAACTCCGGTCTCAAATTGCATGGCATGCTCAAAAATAAAACATAGGGCGTTAACAAACAAAAATATCAATGAGATTTGAAACAAGATGACTTCTGAGTACTCTGGTGATTGACCTCATCCTTAATAACATCAAGTACAGTAACGCACACAGATGTAATGTGCGCCTTGGAAAAACGTGGGTTAAAACAAGTAAGACTTGAAAACTTCAAACTTTGACGTCTGCTTCTAGATGGTTACACAGCGCTTCCGATAGTGGTAGGGAGAAATTTTCATAATTTTTTTTGAATTTTAAGGGAAAAACTATTCAAGTAATAATAGTCAGTTTCACATTGGAATGGATAGAAGGGTGGTTGGCTTGTGTTAATCCTGGACGTGGTGGGTTTTTTCGGTCAATCCAGCTTTCTTTTTGAGTGTATCAGCAGATGGACCTATAGTCACATGTTGGGGTTATGATTTCCATTCGTTGTTGATTTTATAGGAAGGTCGATTGTCATCTGACAGTTGACTTGGTCTGGGTTTGTGGACATTTTATATCCTCGTAAAATCTCAGTTTTTGAAGGAAAAGTGAAGGTATATCATTTGCGAATTAGCCATAAAGTAATTTATAAGCTATGTTCAAGTCACTTCTGATCCCTAAATATGACAAGAGGAATAGATTAAGCTCACTCAGACTGTCATCATACAAGATCTTCGTGATTCTAGGAATCAGCTTAGGTGAGGTTTTTTGAACCTTTTCTGACAGCATATTATCTCCTTTTAGACAAGAACCAAATGTTTTTATGCAGCACTCGAGTTTAGGACGAACAAATACTGTACACAAAGTCAAAATGCTTTTAGCATAGACGTGGCTAAGGCTTCACGTATTGGCCAATGGGTCCTTAAGCATTTGCGCTTATTGCAAGGCAGTACGAAGTGGTTTATAGGCTATGGCTGGGAATTACCTCCAGGTCATTGTGTGTCTGGACAACGTGTAACTCAATGTTCTTCACCATGTATGTATCTATACCTTGGTGAGTAATATACACCATAAGCAACTTGGAAGCATTTATAGGCAACTACCAAATTCTAGATCATTCACGCAATTTCCGTAAGGCACTCAGTCTTCAGTCTTCAGTAATAAGGATAGAAGGTCTAGTGACCTATTTTAATCCTTGCAGTTTGTTACACTGTGGAGGTCCAATCTCGTCTTGAATATATCAACAGAAGGTGTTGATATTACGTGTTCTGGTAGAGAATTCCAGTAATTCACTACTCGGTGCGAGAAACGAAACTCCAGACGTAGACGATTCGATCTCGGTTTTTGGACTTTCTTTGAATGTCTTCTCAAATGCTCAGCCCTAGACGGGAGGAAAAGATAGGACATGTTAGTACCAAGGTCATCGTTCAGGATACGATATGCCAATATTAGATCACCCCGTATTCGCCGGTAAGATAACGGAAATAAGTTGAGGTGTCTCAGTCTGTATTCATAAGATAGGCTAGATAAGCCTTTTACCATTTTTGTCCCGCGGCGTTGGACTCGTTCCAACTTATCCGCCTCATATTTGAAACAAGGACTCGCTGCTTGAATCCCATATTCCAAATGTGGCCGTACGAAACTTGGGTATAATAATCTAAACATTTGAGGTAAGGTGGTGGTTGGAGGTGGTCAACAGGAAACCCTGGACCCGGGTTTCGTGCTACTTGGCACTCGTCAGCAAGGTGTACCTGTAATCCAGAGGGAACTGATGCTCCCTGGCGAATTCGATCCCGCGTCACTCAGCTTCACAGTCAGAGACGTTACCACTGAGCTATTCGGGCCGCGACCAACCTCCTGTAGGACTGAGATGTAATCACAATTGATTGATCACTGGGTGGTGATCAATCTCATGCGTGTCAGGTCCTTCTTAGTGCAAATCGAATGCTATCGATCTAAGCATTTCCCCATCCAGATACCGGAAAGATCTACGAATAGACCATAATGCCCTATAGCCTTTTGCAGCAGCAGCCTTACAGTGACTGGTTGTTTTGAGATCATTACTTAGTATGACTCCTAAATCTTTATAGTTTCTTACTTTGGGCAACACTAGTCCACATAATGTGTAGTGATACGAATCATCGTAGTTATTTAATTGCATCACAACACTTTTATTAGGGTTTACTTCTAGTGACCACCCATTCATCCATGCAACTAGGGAGTTAAGATATTCCTGTAAAACTATTCTGTCTGACATACTATATATGGGTCTCCAAATCTTAATGTCATCGGCGAATAGTAGGACGGATGACTTAGCTATAGCTGGTAATTCATTTATATAAAGTAAAAAGAGAAGAGGACCTAAAATCGTGCCTTGGGGGACGCTACTTTTTACTGGTTCCCACGATGAGAGAGCCCCATTTACTCTTACCCGTTGTCTCCTTTCATGAAGAAAGTCACTTAGCCAGTCTATGACTGCATAATGAATTACAAAACTTTCTAGTTTCAATTTAAGACCAGAATGGGAAACCTTATCAAAGGCTTTACTTAGATCTATGAAAATCACATCTACAGGAATATTGCGATCTTTTGCCTCAGCCCAATCTTCTCTTGCAATGAGAAGATTTGTCAAACATGATGGACCTTTTCGAAAACCATGTTGTTCCTTTGACAAAAGATCATGTCTTTCCACGTAGTTTATAACAGCCATCCTAATAATTTTTTCCATTAGTTTTACAACTGCACTAGTTAAGCTGACGGGTCGATAGTTACTAACTAAATCTCTACTCCCAGCCTTATACACCGGACTGATTATTGCGTCTTTCCAGTCTCTGGGCAATCTGGACTGCCGCAGGGACATATCAGACAGTATCGCTAAGGGTTCAGCAATAACATCTGAGAGGGCTTTCATAATCCGAGGATGAATATCATCAGGACCACTAGACTTATCAGGTTTGAGATGCTGGAGTAGGCTTAAAACAGTTTCTTTCTTAACAACTACTGGGTCCATCAACAAGTCGCCACAATCACAATGAATAGGTGATCGTTCCTCATTATTGGTAGAAAAAACTTTACTGAAATATTCCGAAAAAGCTTCCGCTTTTTTGGTATCATTTCTTGCCAAACTTAACGGATTTTCTTGTATCAAAAGTGATGGTATTCCATCACTTTGGACTATGTTTGCAATCCCTAACCAATTGTTTTTCGTATGACCGTCTAGTTCTACTAATTAGCGCTTTACAATTATTTCTAATCTTACGATAACTAGATCTGTACTGTTCTAAGCCAGTAGAGATGAACATGTTCCAGTGTTTTTTTCTACGCCTAAGGAGTTTCTTAACTTCTTTAATTATCCACGGTGGACTATTGTTCGGTCTACGTGGCACCAAGTATGGTATAAACGGGGACGTGACTGCACTAAACTTGCCTTTAAATACAGACCACGCCTCATCAACTGATGAGCTAGTATCTACTGACCAATCTATCTTAGTAGCACAATCCTGAATTTTTGGTATGTTAGCTCTCCATATGTTTGAGCGAGGCTTAATCTGATCGTATATCATATCGCTAGCTCTAAACGTGAATGATAAAACAGCGTGATCGCTATTTACTAACGGGGGAAGAATATTTAGGTTGGCAATATCCTCAGTCTCATGGGTAATTACCAAGTCCAACAGAGAAGAACCTTGGTTTACACCGAAACGTGTAGGTTTGGATACATGTTGTACTAATGCATGTTCCATTACTGTTTCCAACAGCCTGCTATCAAATGAGTTTATAGAGCATTTCGTGGTCATCTCAGTCCAACTAATGTCAGGTGCATTAAAGTCTCCTAATATCAAGCATCTGTTATTTGCACTCCATAGCCGAATGTGCTCTAAAATAAAGTCATCAGCTAAGCAGATTAGGCTGCGATAGATGACACCGAGTGCAACATCCGACAGTGAGTTCACAGCTAATGACTTCACTACTTCCACTATCATGGGATTCGCAAACGGAGGAGCGGATATTTATACTATTGGCTATGTATAGAAGGACGCCACCTCCTTTCCTGCATCTATGTCTATCACTTCTTAAACAATGATATCCGGATAATTCTGGGGTGATATCGAAGTCATGGACTAACCAAGTTTCCGTCACAGCTACAATGAGTGGCCTTAATTTGTCCACTAATGTTCCTAGCTCGTAGAATTTATGTTTTAGACTACGGGCGTTGGCATACAAAACTCCTAGGGGGAACGACCTATCCACACAGGCCTTGGTAGCATTCGCTTCCAAGACCTGACTATTTGAAAACCCACCAATCGGAGATTTTTTTCACCGTTTTGTCGACGGGTTTCTAGTTCAGCTAGTGCCGTCTTCCTTTTTATTCTATCTTCAAGAGACACATCCGGTCGCATCCCAATGTCAGAGTTGTCGTGACTTCGAGCGTTACTTAACAGAAGATTACGTTGTTTCTCCGACCCTAAGATTACCTTAAGGAGTCTACACGGTCGGGGTAGAACACTGTCATCGGCTCTTTTACCTATTCTAACTAATTTTTTGACCTGAACACCTTTAATGTTATCTGGTAATATGCTACGGATATATTCTCCGAGCCTCTCTAATTCATGGGTGTGTCTAACCTTAGGATCTGGATCGCTAGACTCTGGCAATTTACTCACAATAATATTCGATGATATTAAATTCCTCTCAGTCGCACTAGGATGATGATCTGCCGTCCTATCAGAGTGCGATAATGCATTGAGTGACTCAGACTGTGAGTTCCTCAATGGCTTGTCAACCAAGTGTGCTTTATCATTAGCTTTTTTTCCTTTTCTTTTCCTCTTTACTGCGGTCCATTTTTGGTCATTCAGGACAGCTGCATTGGGACTATTGGGGACGGTGACGGTTTTATCCGGGTCCTCGATTTCTACTAAAGATACATGATTACTCATGTCAATACCATGTGGTGATTTACTCCTCGTTTGTTGCAACGGAAGTTTCATTTTGTCATTAATTAGAGTAGGTTGTTCAGTGCGTTTTGTAACAGCACTTACAACACTGACACAGTCTTCACTGTCAGTGCTTGCGTTGCTAGCGCACCCACTATCTTTCTTTTTACAGGCTAGAGCCAATAGGCTCATAGCCTCTTGAATTAATGTCGTCTTGTTAGTACAGCAGTACATACAAAGCCAGTGCGAGTTAGGCTTAGAACATCTTTTGTATGCA